TGGATGGATGAATGGATGGATGGAGGATTGTACAGACGTACAGTTCGATGGATGGATGGATGGATGGACGGATGGATCGATGGATGGATGAATAGATGGATGGATGGATGGTTGAATGAATGGAAGGATGGATGAATTGGTGTAATGGCTACATAGATAGATGAATAGATAGGTAGATTGATTGATTGATTAACTGATTGATCAACTGATTGATTAATTGATTGATTTATCTACAAAGAGACGAGTTTGGTTATTTTGTTGCAGAGTTGGAGCTGGTCTCCACCGACTCGTCCTTCTGCAGCCTGCAGTGTGGGGAGGGGGGTGTGTGTGAGCTGGGAGAGAAGTTCCCGGGTGTGGTGATAGCGGAGTGCGTGTGTCAGGAGAACTACTGCTACGCCGGCACGTGTCAAGTCATCGTGGACCAGGGGCCTAGATGCAGGTCAGTACAGCTTCTTCAACTCTAGATTTCTGTCTACCATTTTCCCCATCAATACAAGCTAGATAAACAATATTTTCAAACCAGGATCTAACACACATTACAGCAACCAAAGGTCTGGCCTACCTGCAAACTTACAAAAAATGTATCCACAAGACAACTTTTTAAGAAGTTTTAAAAACGGCCCTGCCCCTGGGCTCAAAATTAATGCCCTACTAGTATTATATCACAAGGCATAAGGATGACAATCATACCATGTTCAAAGCAACACATAGCACAACTGCAATATGAAAGGAAGTCGATAGGAGGCCCATTACTAGTCTTACTTGTACTAGACGACCCCACGTAACTAGATGATGGGAAAAAAAACAGTTACTGTAATGACCCCTTGTTACATTGCTCACTGCCGGTTAACCCACCATGCTAACACCTGTTGTTCCAGTTGCCCGGCAGACACGCTGTCCTGGTACCGGGGTGACCGGTGTGAGGTCTCCCTGACCCAGGCTCAGGTGATCGGGTTTGCTGTGGGCTGTACCGCCGCTGTGTTAGTACTCATCATCCTGCTGGTAGTGTGCATGGCCAAACGGGCCAGGAACATGCTACGGGCACAGAAAGCCAGGCGGTAGGTCTTCTGTACATCAGTCTGCTGAATTGCCATTTAAAATAGTGTACTTTTCTTAAACTGTTACAGATTATAGTTTGTTACATCTCTCTCTAAGAACATGCCATGTTCCCTTTGTAAATTGGTATAACATATATAACCTCTTGTTTATTTTGCTTATTTGTCATGAGAATACTGTTGATATCTTTTCAGGTATAGATACGACATGGGCGGCTTTGTACTGGGAAATGGCTACAATTTACGACAGGTAAACAAAATTTGTACAACCTCCTGTTAAGATTAGGCAGTGGGATTTTCAACTGTTCTTCTTATCGTTGGAATTATATATGTAGTTGCTTCAAATAAACAGAATCGTAAACTTTAAGGTAGATATAAGCCATTATGTGGTCTTGTTGCCCCCTCCCCCAGCTGGCAGACACCGGGTTTTTCTCCCGGACGGGTCGGTACACCCTCCCGCACACAGACAGCACGGTGTCCAGTCGGCTCTACACCTGGAACCCTACTGTCAAGAACATACCTGGCGGAGATGTAAGGATACCTTGAGTATTCGTGAGGACCGGTCGATAGCTATGTACTGTAGAATATTGTTGGATGATGAAATATTTGCCTATTCACCCCTATGCTGTGCTTCTTACTTCTTAATCCCATGACCGATACAAATTTGGTACCAAATATACCTTGGCATGTTGAATGTTAATGATGCTTCTACCATAGAAAAACAGAAGCAAAGCAATGCAATTCATTCCCACAGATTAACCCCTTGTTTTCTAACCTAACTCAATTTTGTTTCCATGTGTTCCAGATAAAAATCCCGCGTGCACATGCAGCTGGAAAGGTCTTCCCGAAACAAGAGCAGATATACGCGCAGGTACCTTCTATCACAAATTATGATCTTGTCAATTATGTAACTTGTCTTTTTGTTATTCAATGATGTAAAAATTGTAATAGTGATGTAGAAAAGATCAACATATTTCTTTTCTTTACAGACCATTGAGATGCGGTTCTGAGGTGTCTGCTATTACGAATAACTACATCACAGAACCAACAGCGCACTGGCTGATCATAGCTCAAATGTTATTTTTATATTATGTAAACCTGAATTGTCCTTGTTATATCAGGAAAGATAAAGTATATAGTTTATGAAAGTATATCAGATATAACTTTTCAGATATGTATATATCGCTTATTTGTTATTGCTCGACTGGCCTTGTATTATGAATGTTTAGTGGCAATTGCCTCTAGCTACATATAAGCATGTGCCACTGTAAGTTATCTGTGTACCACTACCAAAAGATTATTCCTAAACTTCTGAAGATTCTTAAATATTTAGATTAAAATCTATACTCAATACTCCCATCCAAAATTGTTGTAGTATTATGATTGGTACATGTATAATGTATAGTACCGTTAGGCTAACCGAGAAATATTATTTTATAATATAATATAAGAAATACCTTTACAGATGTTTTTCTTGTGCTTACTTTCAAATACGTTTCTTTTTTCTCAATAAAATTTTTATCAATGACCACAGTGCCTCATGGTATTTTGTACTGCTAACCCAATTTAAATTTACAGGATCAAGTAAAGTTTATAATATCAAATTCCATAGGTATATATATGTACATAGGCATTTGACTATGTACATTTCTACATAAGAACTGTGGTAAAATATGTACAAGACTCCAAGAGTGTCTTTTGTTCAACCATCCAAAGATGTTTTTTGACAGCTGACTATACGACTTTACTTTAAGTGGTGGATATTTCTTTTTGTTTCCACACACAAAAACCTTATCTCATCCCAGACTGAGAATGGACGCGTTAAAAGTCACTGGCATCCTCGCCCCAGACTTTTTGGCGACGTCTCAGGAGCAAAACCTTTGATTATATTATGGTGTTTGAGTAGAATACCAAAGACCGTTGCTTTCTGGACAATACAGTAGCAGTTATATAAATAATTACATATGCATATTTTCAACTAAAAATAAACTTAAATACACTATCATTCATTCTGTTCTTCTTCGATCACCGTCGACGGCCGTTTGGTCTCGTCTGTGGTGGAAAATGCAGCGCGGCTGGGGCGGAATGTTGACCTTTCGGTCATTGAACCATGTTCACCATTCGTGGACTGGTTTGCACCGGCTGATCCTGTCTCCATCCCTGGAATCTGTGGACATGATGTATAAAATATTAGGTAGTACATACGTCAGTCATGTACACGTCTTACCTGTTTCTTCAATGACAGAAAGCTACTCTAGCTTCGTTTGTCTTGAAAAGGGGTTAAAGGAAGGAAAGGGTCATTTGATTTCTGTCTTTTATGGAGCATGGAAAGTGGAAACATTACCATGAAGTTGCTCCCATCAAACTCGATCCTGCTGAGCCGGACGGAGGGACCGAGGCCGGTGGACGGGCGCCCGTACGTGACGTTATCCATCCACAGGTCGGGAGAGGAGGCTCTGAGGGGGAGAACAAACAGCAGTACCCGTCAGACATCTTCCTCATTTTTATTTCAGTGAAGAGTACAGTCATGTAATCTCTGTGTATATTGTGAGCGCACTTTTAGATACTAGTACCCGTCTGTTCTTTGCGTTTTTGGACAAACGTCCTGCCTGGCCGTAGACTCTACCCTCCTTGGCTATGGGAGTATGTCAGAAGATCTCAAAACATCCAGATTAAATGCACAGCCGGAGACACCAGTATGGTAGCGGACAATTTTTAATTGTAATCTCTTGTAAAAGGGAACACGGGAAAAGACGTCTAACTTACACATGTGATGCCATGTTTTCCTGTCGTTGTTTTCTTCTCCACAAGACGATAGGCAGACAGATGAAAAGCAGGAGAGCGCACCCGCCTGCAACGCCGATGCCGACCATTGCTCCTGTCGAAAGGCCTCCTGTGTACGTATGATGGCAAACGATATTTTTACGGCAAATCAAATAACAACTTGGAATTGATATCGAATGTTCATCATATTATGGGACTTCATAGGTGATACAAATATTCTTCTAATGGATAGCGGTAGTTTACACTTACCAGGCGGCTTGGGCTTTCCACTGCCTGCTGCATTAGGTGAACTTGCCACCGGTATCGATGTAGAAGTCTGTTCTGCTGGAGTAGATGCTACAGCAGCGCTGCTTTGCACCTCGGGCGTTCTTGTTGCTGCTGTAGGCTGAGAGCTTGACATTGTAGTTATCTGTACTTGTGGTGAAGATGACTGCAGGCCACCAGCAGTGGTTGGTGTGTTCAGGGGCTGTGACGTCGGTGTCACAGATGAACTGCTGGGTTCCTCTGTGGTGGTCGAAGATATGGACGCGGCCGAACTCCCGGGTGTCATGGCAACGGAGAACTCCCGGGTGCCATGGCAACCGTGGAACTCCCAGGTGCCATGGCAACGGAAGAATTCTCGGATGTCAAGGCAACCGTGAGGCTCTCAGGTGTCGTGGCAACTGTGGAATTCCCGGGTGTCATGGCAACAGTGGAATTCCCGGGTGTCATGGCAACTGTGGCATTCCCGGGTGTCATGGCAACTGTGGAATTCCCGGGTGTCATGGCAACCGTGGAATTCCCAGGTGTCATGGCAACCGTAGATGATGGTCTCTCTGACGTTGAGGAATTAGTCGTTGTACCGACCATTCTGGTTGTCGTGACGTGTATTATTGTCGCTGTTGTGTTAGCATTACTGCTGGTAACGTTTGTGACGACAGCAAAAACTGGACTTGTAGTGTTTGACGGCGTTGCACCCGTGCTTGCTATAGGCTGTTCTGTCGTGTTCGTCGAAGTTGAGATGATTGTGCCTCTAGTCGTGCCATTCGTAAGGTCGGGGGTAGAAACTGGCTGTGTCGTGTTCATCATCTGTGTCGTCATGGAGACGGGAGCTGGAGGACTGCTGCCATTGGTTACCGTCCGGGTTGACGTCATTTGGCTTGTGGTATTCTGGGCACGAGAATCTGGGGGAAAAGTATGGCAAGCGATTCAGGGCATGAAGGGAATATACTAGTAGTTTGCATCTTACAGTATGGCCATTTAAGTTACGGACGTATCTGCTGTGGTACTAGTATCTAAGGCTCATGCAGTCACTGTTTGAGACCACATCCTTGCCTGAAAGCGCTATCTAGCGGCAAGACGTAGTATAGTCCATCAATATGAAGGTACCGAAACAGTGACATATCTTTGTTACGAGACCCCCCCCCCCACAAACACACACACAGAAGTATAAAAATCTCGAAACTATTGCTAGTTGACGCCTATTTTGGAGGAAATAAACTATTACAAGGCTTTACTTAGTAAAATAAAACAAATGTCCATGGAGGTGTATATTTGTGGCAGGTTTGTTCTGTAACCCCAGGGGATATGATGTGCACAACAGGTCATTAAAAGACTGGGATTTCCCAATGTCTTCACGTACGTAGATAATCATAGATTAACGTGTTTTGGGGAACTCCACTTCCTCCTAGTGGTTTAATTTAGCGTAGAGCCTACTTTTATACCCAATCTGAAGGTTTAATACGGCTGATACGGCGGAAGTATTTCTTGGCGGAACACATATTTGTTGACGAATTTAAAACGATTAAACTCAAAACGATTAACTCAAGAGCTTCATACTCGATGAGCATTGTATGAATGATAACTTTGTGGTTGCCAAAGCTTTTTAACACTGAATTCTTGTTAACTGCGCGTTGAAGTTGGGCTATAACACGAGGCTACGAGGGTACTGAACCTTAAAATGGATTCTAGATCGATCCTTTTCGACTACAATACGTAACTAGTCTACGACATGAACATCCAGTCTTTCATACTACAACGACATGGTGATAGTTCCTGTGACTTCAAGAAACAAAATTGTGGAATATTTCCGGTCATAGTAGAACAAGTGAACCACCTATAACCACAAACAATAACATTTGGAACGAAACATTTGTCTCAGATTTCATTTCCGGGTTCGGTCTCAAAGTTTGTTCCTCAAAATGTACAGTGCTGTACTCCTACAGTGGCCGTATTAACGTGTCAGACGTTTTATAGTTATAACTGACTGCTGGGTTCCTAATCAACAAGTGTCTCGCTATCTTGTAACACTCTCATGTTTGTGATTATCAGTGTGTAGGTTCACTAATTACGAGGGGTCGTGGCGCAATGCCAAAGTTGGACGAGCTGCATATAACATACCTAAACACCTGTACATGTAAGTACTGGTTCTGTACAAAGGAATTATCATAAAGCTTGGCACAAATTTAACGGCAAATAATATATTATATATTACACACTCTACAATACTTGACTCAAGTACAGGAACACTGTGCTCATAAATTTGACCTTTGATTTTGGCAGGTGCACAAAATAAACGTGAATACTCACCTTTAACATGTACGGCCAGAACCAACAACCCAAGCACTGTCCACATTTCGAAAGTCTTCAGTGACTTCATGGGGAAATGAAGGAAGTTCCTCAAACAAAATCCTGTGGTTCAACAGTTCCTTGCCCGCGTGTAACTTGTAAGATTGACTCCCATACGAACGTCTCAGCACCGAAACAACAACGAGGTCCCGTCTACCAATGATGTTGTTGGCTCAAATTTGTTTGTAGACGGTAAACTGAACCTTGGAACACAGGTGAAGAAAGCACAATGTAATGTTTAAACGCCGATAAAATCAACCTAGCAACATGACCATAGTCTGTCACAGTAATGCCCTGTCTGACAACTTTTCTTAAGGTCATTAACTCGGCCGCGGGTCAATGCCCAATTTTTGTTCGTCGCTTCACAAACTAAGATAAGAGGAAGTTATGAATTCAAAGAATTTCAAGGAAGCTATTTGTTATGCAAAAGATGTTTGAAAAAACATGTTAATAGCCGTGGGCAAAAATGTATACAGAAACTCTCACGATTTTTGTTTGTTGTACCAAACCCACTAAAAACGCCTCCAAGGCATTCTACTAGTATGACTGACTTTGTTGTTTGTGTCAGTGACACTATACAGTAATCCAACACCACAACCCGCTTTCGAAATGAACAACTCCGGCTAATCCATGCATTCCTAGGTATCACAGTGAACTTGACATAACACACCATCAGTCAACACCACATACCTTCCACATTGTACAAGTGTGGCCAGAACTCATACAGGACAGAGTCCAACAACAAATTATTGGACTTTGGTCTCTTCAGCATAAAAATAGATTATGTGTTCCTGAAGCATTTCCTCATAGCCTCAAACCTGGGCTTTTTAGTATCAACAAATGTATTATTATTCAAAGACTGCAACAGGGATATTCGAGTTTGTCACACCTTGCTGAACAATCCTAGCCTTAAGATTTATCAATATAGGCCTAGCAAAGCGCGCTCTTGCCAACATTTAAAACATGCCGGTACATGTATTGTAGTCTAGAACAGAAGTGTGTCAGAACAGAGGGTTAAGACAGACTGATGCCTGGAAGCCAGCCTACCTTCTAACACCTGTTTCAACATGCCTAGCACCTGTCATCTATTGTCAACAGAACTATGAAGGGATATCACTGCATGCTGGGAGAAGCAAGGCACTATGGCTGGCTATGGAAGCAAACAACATAGGTTATGTTGTCCTGGTAATGACTTGGCTTGCCCACCACTATCCATAGTGCTGTATGTACCCCAGCAAATAATATACCCGAAAAGGTCTATGAAGCATGGCGGCAGAACGTAATGAGCCTGCACGAAACCTGGATTTTTGTTGGATTGTTTGGTCAACAATGGATCTGCCTGTTGCAGATGGTCTCTTTTACGACAAACTATTAGAGAACGAAAATGAGATATCATCCTTAAATTTGAAAAAACGACCTTTAAGGACACGTTCTGCCGAAGTGCTATGCACAATATAAAGTAAACGGGTTTCATGTAGGTGTTCTGGTCTATGTTGATTTGTGATTGCACCGCTGAAGACATTTCAGATGATTAACTACTACCATAAGTACCCAAAAGTATCCATGCCTGATTTCAGTCATCATTCTTGTAACCCATGTTTACCCTGAACATGGCGGGGGGGGAGGTAGTTTGAGTTGCCTCTTTAGGAATAAAACTGTGTGTACATGTATATGATAATACAGGAAGTTATATGATTATATTACAGCAATACAAATTTTAAAAAAATTCACAGCATTTGTCAACGCCAGGATAGAAGAAGAAGAAGAGGAAATAATGCAGACTCCAGTTGATCTGATATTACAGGTTTATTGTATGTTTATAATCCTGTGTTGTGACAGTAGCCACCATGTAGACAGCCTGAGCTCTAGGTCCTGGGCGGCCCACCACCTCCTGCTCCACCACCACTGGGACCACCTCCCTGGCCTCCCTGGGCTGGCCCTCTCTGGCCCATCTACAGACAGACAAAGGCAATGAAATGGGGGTTAGAATTACAAGTAACATGGACATCTGTAGTGAATGGAACTTAAGCATGAAAGTTTTACCAGAACTTATTAGTAACTTCTTGTCTCACTGAGTGTGTAGTAACTGAATTACCCATCATGGTGAAAATCAAGTGTTTGAAATACTAGAACCAACACTAGAAATCGGTGGCTCCTTTTAGACCAGTGGTTTCTTTGTGTTCTGTTGATAATAATCTATGGTATCACCCGACAATTACATCTTTTGATAAGATTTCAAAACAAAAGATGGACTTTCAGTCAAAGAATATAAATACATATAACTTTAGCTCTGGCTAAAATCTGGGCACATACAAAACATTTCATATATCTGTTGTGGTAAAGAGATGTGGTCACATTTGCTGCATCACAATTTCCATTGTAAGATTTCATCAAGAACAGATTGTGGCTAAGATAAGCTTATCATCCATATAACATGACAGACCAGCCATTAAATTATGAAATTCCAGCTGTGGATTGTACTCACTCCTGGTGGGCGGAACCTGGGTGGAGGGGTGCGGTCCTTACGAGCCTCGCGTGACCGGTTCCTCACCACCTTGCTGTGGATGGCACAGCTCACACAGTAGTGAAGCTTGGCATACAGCTTGGGCAGGGCGTACACTAGAGGAGGATGGAAGATTTAACATTAGTTAAAACATAAAGCTTCACAAATAAGAGTTAAAGAAGGGCAGGGGCCAGTACATGGACCAGTGCAGGTTGGATGCAGGTAGACATCAGAAATATCTGCACAGCTCCAATTTTACCTGCAAGTAGTGGTTCAAGCCCATATGCTTGACAATGACATAGAGTAGACTCAAGTTAAATGAAAGAAAAGGCACTCTCCAGAAGGAATATTGAACACTTCACTGTTGAGCGTGACCTGGGTATATTCTGGATAACACAGAGAACCAAACCAGCCATTTCATGAAAAGTCTGAAATCCTTTATAGCTTCACTGGTATTATGTCTTGACCACCATTTTTTTGGGTCAAGGTAAAAAAAAATGGTTGCCTCACCTTCATACACGCTGGCCTCGGAGATATCTCGGACAGCCGCTGCCTCCACGATGTTACGGATGACAAACTTCTTGATGGCCTTGTCCTTGGGGACGCAGCGTCCGCAGTTGGTGCAGCGGATCGGTCTGACATGGCCACGCCCTTTCTTAGAACGTCCGTTATTGCGCCTCTTCTTAGTCTGGTAGGGTACAACAAGTCATAGTCAGGAAGGAGACTGACCAATACCTCAACCTCCAAATAAAACAGATATTACAGAGGAAATAATACATTTACTTGTTGAAAACTCATGTTTCAGGTACCATCTCATGCAAGCTAGTAACATCATATATAATACAGTCTGTGAGCATATCAGGAGAGTAATTATGGCAAGTTCTGTGTGTGCTATTGAATTTATGATCTAGTTGATAATTGACTGTATCAGGCGTAGCACTTCGAAAGTCTTCTGGTTTAGATACTAAAAAGGCCTGCAATTTGGATGACCATCTTCGACTTGAGACATGGGATTTCTACCAACACACAAGTACTTTCAGAAATTCACACAAATAAATTTTCCTAACATAAAGATATTATCATCTACAAGTCTTTGATGGGAATACATGTGTATGTGTGTGGTTATTGTCTTGTAGATAGAGATTATAACAGTCTCCCCCGGGCATGGAATTATTATCTTTCATAACACAGATCTAAGAGTAAGAGTCCAAGTTTAGAGACATGTGGTTATTGCCCCCCTCCCCACACAAATTATTTTATATCAGCCATGATGATTTCGACAGGATCATTTTCACATTTCCCCTCATCGCCCGGCAAACTTTCACCGAAAAATGTACGACTGAACCTTCTAGGTGCTTTGTGATACCTATGGAATACCTTTAAACATTCGTGATCATTCAGAATTTACGAAAATTTTCACATTTTCTTGCACCACGTGAAAAGGTTACCCACCATTTTGACTGCAGGCAGGGGAAGAGGCCGATTCACAGTCAGGATGCACAAAAATCACAACGCAAAAAGACGAAAAGCTAAAACTGTCTAGTTGTTCGAGACCACATCCACTGAGAACTATCATAAGTTATGGATATATTATGTTCATAATTTTCATATCCTCTGTAGTTTGTATTGTGTGGTATCATAGAGTTTACGGGTGCTTCTTGCTACTTTTTCTTCGCGGATGTAAGCAAATCCAAAACGCTGTGATAAAGCCACGAAAAGCACTCTGGGAAATACGAGACGATCAGTTGTGTAGCAGCGACTCTTAGCGACTAATATTAGCATTACAAGATATGGACTTTCTCACAGGATATGCATCATGTTTCGGTAATTTGATGACGACGTTTTGTGGATGTTGACAATTAGTGTCATTGCCGAGCGGTTTCGATGACTGCCAGCGTAGCTGACGTGGACTGAAGTGAATTACGAAATCTTACTGCCATCTTTATTTTAGTCATCCTCATAACGTTGCGTTAGATCAGTACATGGGGATATCAGACAATGTTGGAGATGGAAGATCGACAGACAGAAGCTGAAGAAAATATAGAATAAACTAAACTTGTGTGAAAAAAAACTCCGGTTATACGTTGTAATGTAGTGCAGTCGAGTGGATATATAATAACAATAGCACAGTGACGGAATATTTCAAAATCGGACGCACCGGCTTTACCAGCTAAGACGCATTTCCATCTTTCACGAAATATCCAAACCTAATACCTGCAGATGCAAGCTAGAATGATATGGAAATAGAGTTTTATCCAAAGTAGATTATATATATTTCTTTCTGCAGCCATGACCCTGTAATGAAATATCGTTTGATGCCGAAGCTCTTGATAGATGAGGAATTACTGGAATGGCTTAAAGGGACCGTTGATGTGGAACGACCAATCAACTTGCCTCGTTCCTTGACGTGAGGCTAGTGCGTCATTCGCTGAGTCGTAAAAATTGATCCCCGTGTTCAAACATACAAACATGTAGCTGCGGGGTGCAAGGTGTACATTGGTGTGTTATATTACATTTACACTCTCGACCTTCCTGCATTTCTTAGCTATTCATCGATGATTCGATAACGCTGATTCAGTGGATGTACAAGCTAGTAATGCTATAGGCCTCAGGGGTGCACTGTGAAAAATTGGATAGCTCTCTGTTGATCTTCTAATCGTATTACGCTGACTCTGAATGCCTGAATGAGAGTCTGCACACACACGCGGTGACACACACGATACTCAGAGTCTTTTGATAAACTCAAGTTGCCGCTCCTATCCAGGGTTAGAAGGCAAGGGCAAATGATGGAGATGACTTTGGGATGATTCAAGACACCACAAACGAGCAAGGGGCTCGGCCGCTAAATCGGCTCGGCTTCTGTATCTGTGCGTGTCTATTTAATATTTTGACGCAAATAGTTATGTTGCTATGTTGCACAACCAAGACATCTGCAAAATAATGAAGGGGATTGCTGTGTTTGCAAGGCATTTTTAGTTAATCACAATCATCCTGTATTGATAAAGTAGGATTACGTTAGCAAGGTAGTCATGGTAGTTTTGTGATGTTTTATTTGAGCCTCTACCATGCTTCAGAAGCGACTGGAAAGAGTAAAAATTGGCCAAATAGACAGAGAACGGAATAGACAGAGAACGGGCCAGGGGAGTTGATCTGCTAAATACAGTTTGCCGCTTCTGAAGCCTGGTAGAGTCTAATGTTTTATGTGATGGAGTAAGATCTTTAATAACATCCTGACAATATACTAGTATTCTCTTCTTCATGATCGATCAAGTGTCTTCTATTGCTTCCATTGTAGATGTGCTTTCACTTGTATACCCTTGTCGTCTTTCATCATTCAGTTCGTTCATTAAAAAGTTTCTAGTTTGCCAATTAGAGAGGGTTGAATAACCACAGACTACTGAATTCAGAAGTTTTCATGCTACACGGGTGGAGTAGTTCTGTGCCACAACAGCCCAGACTCCCAGCTCAATTAGGATGTTTCCATATCATTACCTGCTCGGCTGAGTCTCAAGACATTCATAGATATCAAAGAAAGTCATTCTTATTAAAACGGACTGCTTGAATTCCTTGCAGGCTTTACGTATTGATTTTTCCCTTGCATCTTGATCTAGTTTCACCTTTCTGCTTTGTGGCGACTGGAAAAAAAGCTGGATTTTAAAAATAGTCTTTGTACCAACCATGGTTCAGTGATAAGCAGTATAGTAAGCTTTCATGAAAATGTCATCATTGGCAATTCATAGGAATCCTATTAAATCTGGAATATAATGGTACCACGAATGTCACTCTTATTTGACTTGGATGGTTATTCAGTTAGAACAATTTGATCAAGAAAACTTATAGAAAGCATGATAAGACCACATTAAACGAGAAAAACATTGCCAATCTGTTGCAATGAAAATAGATTGACGCCATCATGATCACCTATACACATGCTATACTCAGTAAATATCCTATGTCTATATTCTAATTTTAAGAGTTGTTGTTTGATGTCGGTGCGCCTTTTTGTGTTCTTCATGCCAATAAAACTCGAAGGTGAAGATTGACATGGTAGTAAAGAGACATCTAAAAAAAAGCTTATAAGCTGAGTTCGAATATAATTTTCAAGCAGAGACGTGGCGTATTATATATAATACGGTATTGTCTGATTTATATCATATATCCTTAAGGTGTTTTAGTACAAATGTGCCATGAAAAGTATATAATTAAGAAACAAACCGTGAGCCGAAACACCTATCTGCTTTGAAAATTACCTAAAATATTGCCTAACTAGTTAGTCCTGACAATGATCCATGGGCCGCTTCTAAACCGTTGTCATAACAACGGAAGTGTTCATCCATGTGATGACAACCGGTATAAGAGCCGCAGATTTTTATAGCGTCATGCGTTTTATTGTGAGGCAGTACGTGCAAGTTTTCACAAGACAGTTTATTGCGTCAGGGTGGGGACGGTGTAGACTTTGCGTCGACGCTCTGTCTTACATGTATCATTGTGTATAAATGAGACTCCTTATACTTTCCCTATGCTGTTTGAATGCGACATAACAATAAGCGTAATAATGAAACGGAAACTGAAAGCCCCAAGCTTAACGTTACATCTGTCAACAGCGCGTTTTGGTAATCTCCTATCGACGCAGTTGGATCACTGCGTAATATCTGCGGAGAATCGTGACGCAAAGTTGATGAAATGCTGAGCCTAGCAGCTATACAGCGTAATCAATTCACACAGTAAGATAGCGTAATCTGCAAGCAGAAGGGTGGTGTGTGGGCGCATAGATGGGAGGCGTTTATTTTGGGTGGCAGTTTTTTTCCTGGTAGTGGCAAGGCCACAATTGAAAAGCGTGTACCGAATATAAAACATACCAGAAGAAGCAGGAACAAGCGCATGCCTGATTGGAGATAAACAGAACGAGGAACCACAAATGAAGCATTTGACAGAATCAGGCACTCTTGCGTTAATTCTAACCTGGTCCTTAGAGAAGAAACTTCCAATCGATAGATTCGCGATTTATCTGATGTACCGTGAGGGGGAACCGTTACGAAAGGCCCGTGTGGGCGTAGTTTCAGGGCACTGACCGGGAGAGAACGTGCGTTGGTGGAGAAAAATAGGACAAAATTCACCCTGAGGATGATGAGGAAATGATAATTTGTAGAAGGAAGTTTGCACACAGAAAATGCGGAATGCCAAGGACACACAAGCAGCACTGAGCACTTTCACTTTTACATCCAATATTTTGTGATTCTAGTGGTATCTCATTAGTATCGATGTCTTAAGAAAGAAGCAAAGTTATTTTGTTGTAAGATATGATTCAGCCTACATGCAATATCATGAATCAAACAGATCTAGAATTTATAGTACAATAAGAAGAAATTGCAACGTTTTGCTGATTTTAATACCTTTCTTGCATGTATACGTACATCTCCAGTGCTTTGAAGAATGAAGATATGTCACTGAGAAAGTTTGTTATGTAAGAAAGTTGTGACATGCAAATATTGACAAAACTAAATTTAGCTTTACCCTCGCCTTACTTTTTGCCACGAGTCAGTTCTGTGTACCGGTACTATCGTACCCTGTCGGTCAAAAGACTGAAAACGCGTGCAAAGTCTGGGCTGCATCAATAATTTACCGGCAAAAGTGGCGGGAAAAGTGTCCGTGCCGCTGACCCCTGGATGACACGTGACGTCACATCTCCCCTGAGTGATAAACTCATCAACATGCGCTGCCTGACGGGTAAATGTAATTAGTTCACCCAGCCATGCCCGGGACGTCCAACTCTAGCGCCGTGCCTCTCTAAAAACTTCCCGATCTCAAGTTTTCTCCCGTACCAGCGAGCAGAACTAACATGGGGAGGACGGCGGCAGTTCTGCGGGCCGTGGCGCTAGTTTTGGCGCTGTTTCACTGCCGATCGACCGAGGGAAAAGGTAAGAAATCTGCCTGAAGATTCGGGGTAACAACAAGCGTACGTTTGTGTGCGATCCGCCCTGCAGTACCAGTAGGGTACCCAAACTTTCCCGGAGCGATCTTGCAAGGGTTTTGGGTAGGATTTAGCGGATTCTCTTGTTAGATCTTGTAGGAAATAGTATGCTGAATGTGGCAGAGGGTGGATCGTGGTGGAATTTGTGCAGAAAACGCTACAGTGTGGCCCCTGCACCGGTTACGTGTAGCGAAGTGTGTCAGGCACACTCCTCTGGGGCATAACCTGAAAGCACAGCCCAAACCTCAGGCGATCTCAGCTCAGATACCGACACGAAATCAACACAGTCAAAACACCGCTTTCCAGACTCAAGTTTAAAGTCTCAAAGACGCCACCTGAGAGCCTTGTGGTTGGGAAAAGGAAGTTTTCCCAGTCTGACGCCTCGAAACAGAGCCAGGCCGGTAAAGAGACGTTTCTCTTCCGCAAAGTTGTTTACATGACCATGGGCCGCCTCGAGCTAGTCTGGCTCGATTTTAGCAGACAACAAAACTCCCAATTCTACCAGCTGTGGTTAAGAACAACTCAAGGAACAGTTGCAAGACTTAGCAGAGAGACATTTGGGGAACAGTTGCGGGAAACCATCGGCTGTGTGGTAC